TGTATTTGTCTTGTTCCACATTATATATCCTGGCCCTACTGCTGTGTCTGGCTGTCAGTTTTCGAATCAAAGGATTCATCTACGAATGGAATAGGAGATAGTGGATAGTGGGTCTGAAATGCCCGAGGGGATTTTTTACTCCTTGGGAGCAAAAAAGATTATCCTTAGAGTTCTACTCCTGTTCTTTGTTCTTCAGGGCAGGTTAAATTAATTGCCTAAGGATTCAGGAATCATCTTAATGGTTTCTATGTCAAATTTCCTTCTGTTATGTGGTAGACTTCTTCGAAAAGATGCTAGTCATGGAAATATATGTAAAAACAACTAGTATGGAGTTGCCAGTGGTATGAATGCAATTTACATTACGGGTTTAGAACTATGTCACTGTTATTTTGGCTTTGATTACTCATTTTTAGTTAACAGTGGACTATTAACAGAGATCAGAATGAGGTTTAGATCACTCATAAAACTAAATTAACTTTATTATCCTATATTGGTATGTTCTACAGAAGTTAATTTTATATTATAAACTTCTTAAAAACATATTTTACAACTTAGGAGTACTCTCATCATTTTCCAAGATTTAATAGAGGTCCCATTTGTGAAAAACACTAGTTAACAAATAAAGAGTAAATGCTATTTCTACTCAATAAAATATACTATCTCCTGCTTTTCAGCTCTAATGACTGTTGTACAAAGAATATTCTCAGATTCTCCCTGACTTTTAATTTCCAAGGGCAAATCTTTTACCTGGGCCTGCAGATCACTTTTCTTCAATACTGCAAAGATGTTTTGCTTGATGCTGGCCTTCTTACTTTCACATCTTAAATGTTCCATTTCTATATAAAGTTTCATAACTTTGCATGTTTTTCCAGCATTTAGCCTAGACATAATAGTTGATTAAAAATGTTCAATTGGTTAATAAATTATAGGTTTTGACAATTTGGGAACAAACCTTCTGATCACTACACATTTACTCCTAGGCCACTTCCCTTGCCAAATAAAGCTCAGACGGTAGTGTATGGGTGTTTTTGCCGTTTCTGAATGTTCTCATCTTCCAGAATGTGTGTGTGAAATTACTTATTTCAAGTGTTTATGGTTTTTATTCCACAAATGAATCTGCTATAGTTAAGGATATTAATGCAAATTCTCTGAATTACAGATGTTTTCTTGGCTGTTGAACCCAACGGTCTTAAGCAAAGCCATTTTTGGATTCTTTTGGTCTACTGAGATAGAAATCAGAAATTTGGTGATTTTCTCTATAAATTCTTACATCTATTGATAGTTGGGAGTCTGTGGGTAGTGCAAAAGGTTAAAGCACTCAGCTACTAACTGGACGGTTGGAAGTTTGAGTCCTCCTGGGGTGCCTTGGAATAAAGGCCTGGTGATCTACTTCCAAAAAATCAGTCACTGACAACCCTATAGAGCACGGTTCTATTCAAACACATATTGGGTAGTCACAAGTTGAAGTCTACTTGACGGCAACTGGTTTTTGTTTTTTCAGTTGGTAGTTATGATGGAGCAATGAGGGAGGCTTACAATATATACCAGAGACAACTAAGAAAGATACAGTGTTTCAATCAAATCTGAAGTATTTTTTGTTCAAAACCAAACTAAAAATATGGTCATTGCAATTCATTTAGTTAAATGAATTTAGCTTTCTAGTAACAGGTCCAACAGGTTTGTCTGTCTGAATGCAGTGCGGGGAAGATAACAGCAGGAAGATGATGCTACCCAAAGTAAGGCACTTGGTACAAGCTTTTCTGTATTTCTCAGTAAATGGTATAACTTGGCTGAGTAATTTAACTTTGATAGACACTGCTTAAAGATTGATTTTGATGGAAAATGATAGCTACTTGCCTGTTTATGTTAGGGTATTTGAAGACTTTTAGCTGAGATTAATGCTGAAAATAATTGTCAGGAATTAATAACTGCCACTTCCATTCAGAATCAGATTTCAACCATATCTAAGGGAATTAAAGACCCTGGTGGTGCAGTGGTTAAAGCCATCGATTACTAACCAAAAGGTCAGTGGTTCGAAACCAGCAGCTCCACGCTATAACGATGTGGCAGTCTGCTTCCACAGAGATTTACAGCCTTGGAAACCCTATGGGGTCACTGAGTTGGAATCAACTCTATGGCAGTGGGTATCCAAAGCAAAAAACTCAAGCAATCTAGGCTCCTGACAAGGTACTAAACAGTAATATAATAGACTGAACAGCTTTAATATGCAAAGCAAGAACCCTTCCCTCTGCCCCTCCCCAAAAATATTAAGCTTATTGGGCCATGAATTAAAATGTCCATCTAACTCAAAAGGTGGTAATTTCAATATTCTAACTTCTGAAAGAGCTTTTCATTCATCCTGCAATCAAACAAAACTAGAAGCCTGTTGAGAGATCATTTTGACTTTTATTACGCACCACAGACATGAGCATTAGCCAGACATTAGGATGATTCTCTGTAATCTGAAGATCACAGGGGATATATTTCCACCTCCCTCCTTTTCATCTGATATTGGAGTGGTATCTCAGATATTATTTTGAGATTAGTAAAAGAAACTGAAAGGCAGTGTAAAAATGACATAATTATGATGCTCTTCTGGAAGCCAGTAGTTACTGATTTGCTGACTGAGGATAACAAGACTTCACAGTATTAACAATGTTGATTATTAGTCAGCTACTTGTATTTTGAACATGTACTGTTACTGGAAACCAAAGAATGTGAAGAGTGGTCCCCAAGAATCTTTCATTCTTGTTTTCAAGCTTCCTATGATCTAGTAACTTCTCAGAGGCTTTCAAAGGAGCACAAATCCTTACTTAATGGAAATAATTTTTGTGCATCCAGGCAATGTAGACAACACATCAAATACCTGCTTCTTGTGCAGATAGGTGCTTTAGTAATCATGGTTGCTTCTGGTATCCATCGAGTATGAGTTGTTAAGAGTTCCTAAATACTGACTGGTTAGTTATGTCTGCCTTATATACAATGCAGAATCTCAAGAGTATACCTTCGTATTCCTGGTCCAAAATAAGGTGGGCATGGATATACTCAACCTTGTTTACTCTTACAAAGGGAGGATTTTATTTTTTCTAATGGAGTTTTGTGTCAGGCAGTAGGGAACACATATTCAGTTTTGAGGTAGGTTATAATAGATAGAAATGAGAAAAATACAAGACCCTTGAGCATCAACCTCTGTCCACCTTTCTAAGCTTACCTCTTAATACTCCCCAAGTAATATAAGCTTTACTTAGTCCTTGAAATACCACTGCACTTTTGCACATTGCACCTATGTTTTAACCATTTCACTCGTTCCCGAACTACTGCTTTTTTTCCCAAAGCTTAGTTTAAGCATTGTTCCCCTGGAAGAAGTTCATGTCTGACTGGATTGTCATTCTTCTTGGTTTTCTCTTAGAAGCCCGGGTTAATCACAATAATAAATGTTATCACATTGCACTCTGTATAAACGACTTCATCTCTCTCACCCACTACACTATGAACTACTAGAGGGAAGAAACTGTGTCCTTATCTTTCTATCTTCAATGATAATATGCCACAAGAATCCTATAAATGCTTCTTAAAAGAACAGCGAGCGCAATACAGTCTACTATTTACAAGGGTTCAGTCTTTTTAAAAGTACTAGAGATCTGTCCAGTTTTGAATATATAAATTGGAGGAAGCTACTTCAAACTTCTGTTTTGTCCTAAGATAAAACCAGACTGATCCACATATTACTGAGATGAAGGAGTCTATTACAAATTACTTATTATAGTCATCCTTAGCATGACAGGGCTATTTTGAATTTGCATACAACAGTACTGAAGACACAGTCTGGCACAGTAGCACAAGGCATTGACAAGACATTGGACTTGAACTTCAACTTTAAGGCAGAGGGAATTCTATAGATTACATGCCTTTCTGATTGCCCATCTTGAAAGAATGTCTAAACATAGGGACTCCTCTGCCATTGGTGCAGCTGTGGTCAATTAGGAATCAAATATTAGCACAAAACAATTCCAGCATAGATGGAATGAAAACATTCTGGAGCCCGAAAGGAGCTTAGGGAGAGCATCTGAACCTAGTAAACTGGATTTCAGTGCCCACCATCTGATACCTGCACTTAGCCCTGCAACAGGACTATGTGACTGAGGCTGTCCATCGGAGACTAAAGATCATTTTTAATTCTCTTCTGCATCCCACCACTCTGCCAAGACTATAGAAGGAATATCTGTATATTCTGTGGGGTTAAAACTACCCACACTGCCCTTTGAGTTAGAGAACAGGATTCACTGGTGACTCTTTGAAATAAATACATTAAAGAAAATGCTAACTGCTTTCCTTCAGAAGACCTTGTGTCTTTGCCCTCCTCTCAGAGAGCTTGTGTTTCAAAAGGTCATAGTGGTTGGGGTTAGAAATAAGCTACCACCCACTCTGTTCAGCAACTACACATAGCAAAACTTTTTATATGCTACCACAAATTTCCCCAAGAAGTTATTTCTTCCCCCACTTCCCACCTACCTCCTCCAAAATGCCAAGTTAAAGAAATGTCTTAGAACTAATTATCTACAATACTCTTCCCTTTTTCCTATTAGATTTTCATTAGCATATTAAAAAAAATCAGTTGACAAAAACTTTTGGAAAGTCTAGTTGGCAGCAAAGGTTGGACACCAGATGGCCACCCAGAAACTAGACCCAGAAAGGTGACTTACTCTGCATGTATATGCTGACAAAGAGTCCTATTTTTGGGATACCCTCAAACTCCTTGACCTAATGCTAAGCCCAAGAGGCAGTTCAGAGTAGGAACAATTATCATAACCTGATTCCCTGTCTAAAGTAAAATATACCACTTTTAACCAGCCACAGGCACCTCAAAAATAATACGTTACAGCCTACAACAGCTCTTAAAAAAAAAAAAGAAAAAAAAAAGCAGGCAACATATAATAAGCTTTTCTTATAAGTTTCTTAGGATTCATTCCAAACAGTTTAACGTGGTCTTCAAAAACAGGTGGCTTGCAGTTTCATACTTTTTTTTTTTATTTTTTTAACAGAAAGGGCTACTAGCAGACTCATTAGTAGAATCCTAAATAATTTTCTTTTCTTAAAAAAAAAAGAAGAGAGAGTTTCCTTTTATCTTTATTGAGGAAATTAATAGCTGAGGACAGTATCTATTTAGCAATATCTATAATAAGGCACCTCGGAAGAATGGCCTGGCAATCTACTTCCGAAAAATCAGCCCATTGAAAACCCCATGGAGCACAGCTCTACTCTTAATGCATGTGGGGTTGCCATGAGCTGGAATCAACCAGGCAACTGGTTCATAACAGGGAAATTTTTAGCTTAGATGTAAGCTCCTCTTATAAAATGAAACCTAAAATTAAAAAAAAATCTTGGATAATTTAACTTCCCTTGAGTTCTTAAATATAATCTGTGACTATCAAAAGCTTCCATTCCTCTGGGTAAATTGTGTATATTTACGCCAACAGATATATGAATTTCAAATATTCAATGCTAACTGGAGGTCAAAATACCAGTATCTATGTTTCTACCACCATTTAAACATTAACAGTGAACATTTGAGTCTATAACATACCATCTACCTACATATAAGAAGTGTACCACATTTCTTTGTATGTAAAATTCTGGTTCTGAAATTTTAACTGAATTTCAGTTGAACCTTAAGAAATGTTAACCACAAACTTATATAACTACCTTTTTTCAAAATGTGTAAGTTCCATTCCCAATATTCCTCTTGCCTAGACTAAAAATTACTGAAGATCTCCTTTCATTATCAAAGCTCAAAGACATTAATGCCAAGATATATGGATAAATATATTTGAAAACTATTTATCATCACCTACTAAGTACAGAAGCAACTAACTATGAGATTCCAGTTTAAGCTGACAGACAAAATGCAAACTAGATTTAAAGTGCTATATTTAAAAAAACAAAACAAAAATACAGCTTGTATTTCGGGGCAATTAAAATAATTGTTTCATTTTCTAAGACTTGACACTAAAAAAAAGAATGAAAAACACTTATAAGATCATTATTCTATAATTGCTCTATTTTGTTCTTTTCATTCTAAGAATGAAATCTTTTTCAGAGACAGCTAGCTGGTCAAATTTATACTTAAGACATTTATATATACTTGACCAGAGGTTTCAAAGGCTACTACATCAGTCGGATACTCTAAACTTATGTAAATGTGAACATTTTCCCAATAACACTCTTAAGCCACATCTCTTTTATCTCCTTCCTTAAGAACTGCATAGTCTTATTTTAAATAGTTAAAAAGCCTGTAATAAAGTACAGACTTTGCTAACAGTAGAGGTACTCAGGTGAACATGCATTCAAAATGGTGTGGCCAGTGGAAAAGCAAGCATTATTAAATATGAATGCAATCCTTACCAACACACATTGAACCATTTTTTTCTCTAATAAAAAAGCTAGTCCAAAAAAGGTCTCATCCTATAAAGATTTATCATGGCCAAATCACAGTGAAAGGAACTTGAGTAATTTACCAATTTTGTTTTCTACTATATGTCTTAGAGATACCTTACTAAAAATTGGTATCTGACACAACAGAATGACACTTGCAGGATGTAATATTGTAGTGACAGTACAGAGACTGACTGTTACAGACATATTCAACTTTTTGAGTATTAAATGGTTACATCTTAATTATACATAGAACATTGGTCCAATAACATAAAAATGGAGAACAGCAGCTGGAAATGTATCTCACTCAATGTTCAGAGATAAAAGGGTTAACCATTCTTTCCATTATTTTCTGCAGATAAGTCTTTTTCATATTGAAATCTGATGGCAATTAAATTCTGGCATTTTTCCAAGCTACTGTATGAACAGGATGCTGAAGGCCATCACTATACAGCATACTGCAACATATGGACTCTTCCGTTCACCTGTTGGAAAAAGGGAGATATTCATTTTTATTAACAGAGTAGCTAAAAAGGATATAAGGTATTACTTACTATGGGGGAGGTGCACGTAAGAATCAAGATAAAGTTCTTGCCTATGAGGTCCACACATTTGGGGTGCTTGGGCAAAGCAAGAAAGAAAACTAGATACAACATAAAAACAAGTAAAAGAGAGAATGAGCTAAATTATACTGATTTAATTCTAAGATGATACCTGTTTCATTTGCTTAGAAACCCTTGAAGCGCCATTCCTATGCCACTGTGTAATCTCAGATATTAAAACATACAGTGTTAACAAAAAGCAGAATGCAGGACAGAGATCCAAGAGAAACGATCTTAATTAAGGCCAAAGAAATATTCTTGATTTTCTTCATGCAAAAAAATACACTTCCACTTATAAAAAGAAACATCCAATTTTTAGCTGTAATTTTTTCTTACTGATTCTTGACACTTAAAAAGGAAGCATTTATAGATGAAAATAAAGAGAAGATGCTTAATAAAATGGCATTTTAAAAATGGACATAAAATGCTTAATAAAAACATATTAGAAAACACTATTTCTGAGATAGATTTCTTATCAAGTCTTTTATAATGTGGTTACCCTAGGTTAGAAACATAGAACTTAAACTAACCGATTCTGTATTAGTTAATTTTTACATGTGTTCAAGGAGTGTTTATACTTGGAGACTTTACTTTGCATGAACTAGACCTGAAATTGGCTTGTGAAATCGTCTTGTGATCAGACAGAAATCCTGTGATTTTGAGTTAACTGGTTCCCTTATTTTCTGTAATTGTGAGACTGTACTAATCCATAAAACACCATTGATATGCTGCCTTGTGGGTACCATAGGAAGAAGGAAAAAGGAAGGAGGAGGAATAACAGTGATGTGCTACTTCTAGAAATAATCTTGAGCATTTACCTGGTGTTCCCTTGTAGAGATGGTTTATATTTCCCTCACTTGTATTTTTCTGTTTAAAATCAGCTCTTTTTAAGTTCCTAAATTCCTCTTTCCACCTAGCAAGTTCAGTTAATTGCTCCTGGGAAACTTCAAGCTTGACTACCTTTATCAACTAAAAATTTCATGGTCATTTTCATTTTCAGCACTTCCTCACTGAGTGTACACTGCCATATTATTTGTAAATTTATATCCTTGTGTCTGCTCAATGATGATGCTCATAGAAGACATCTCTCTCTTACATACAACACAAACACAAATAAAAGAAATAATTGTTCTTGGAAAGTGTTTTTTCTATCCATAGACATTTAACAGACTGCCTTCCAGCTGAAGAAAAACCTAGACAGTAAGAAAATTGTGCTGTCAAGTCAATTCCAACTCATAGTAACCCCGAGTAGACCTGCCCCATAGGGTTTCCTAGGCTGTACTCTTAATGGGAGTAGATCGCCAGGTCTTTTCTCCCGTGGAGCTGCTGGGTGGGTTTGAACCGCTAACCATTTGGTTAGCAGCTGAGTGCCGAACCGTTGTGCCACCAGAGCTCCTAAGTGAGAATAGTAGTGTTTTTTTCAATACTGCCATCTCAAGTAGGAAAAAAAAAAGTCTTTTAAAACTAAAACGTACTTGGGTCATAATTTCTAAGCAATGTTAATTCTTTTGGATTAAAAAAAAATGATCAAAAGTAAAACAAAACCAAGCTACTCTTATATAACCTTCACGTGGGTTTCATAAGCAAGCCTGTCCACTCTGACTACTGCTAGTTACTCTCATAATTAAATACCTAACAAAAGAAATTAATATCTGCTGAAAATTAATTTTGAGGAAGTTCTCTTCCTCATCCTCTAACTCAGAACATTATGATTTACATATGAGTTTCATTTTCCTGTTCTTTATTTTCTTAAAAGAGATTGCCATGTGGTAGAGCTAAACATGTTTGGTTGAACCTGGTAAGAATGTTACTCCTTGGCTGGTCTTAGGTCTATGTAAATGTGAAACAGTCACTGTAATGTGCTGTGTAACATAAGATGAATCAGACTGAGCCTTTCTCCATTAAAATTATATCCTTTCTTCATGGATATATTCTGTGTCAAGGTAAGAGAGGGGTATGTGGTTGAGAAAACAGCATATAAGATTCACATTTTTCAAAGCCACTCTGCCAAAATGAAAAGTTACTGATTTCATATAATGGGCAAGAATGAACACATTTAACTAAATTATTCAACCTGGGGCATTCATACAGTTTAGAAAAAAATAAAATAAATAAGCAAAAAAAAAAAAAAAAAAGCACTGTTGATAATTAGACATAAAAATAGGTCATACTAAAAAGAATCATTAAGAAAGCTACACACTAGATATTTAAAATTTTTAGGTATACTGTACTCTTCTGAAGTACTAATAGTGGGCCAAAAAGTTACCTGGGCTGATAATCAAACGGATTTGACAGAAATGTCTCTGAATGCAGTGTACATTTCTCCAATTTAGCACATAAAATGGATTAGTATCTTAATATTTTCTTCTTGATTTAGAAATTTAATGATAGAACTGGGATGAAAATCAGCTTCCTAACTCCAAACTTTTTATATTCTTACCAATGATTAATTAGTACTGCTGTAATACAATGATATTCTCTTTTCCTGCACGCTGTCTTGCTCTTCCAGTATGCTCTCCTTGCACTTTACTTGAGGTTTTCTTATGACTCTGTTCCTTGGCAATATCCTTTTATTGTTCAGGGTGACTTGTTTCTGAAGCAAACAATTTGGTTTACATATATTTACGTTTATCAGTAGCTATTAGCATTAGTCACCATGGGTACTATTTTTTTCTCTGTATCCCTCTATTTTTCTTGTTTCTTTTGGGCCTACTTAAGATTTCGTTATTTCAGGGTTTGCAGCTGTTGTGCATGACTGTGTACCAGTTAAGTCTACACCACAACTCCCTGTAAGTTTAGGCCAGGGGTTTCTCGACTTCAGCACTACTGACATTTTGGGCTGGACAATTCTTTGTTGCCAAGAACTGTCCTGTGCACGGGGGGATATTTAGCAGCATCTCTAGTTCTACCCCACTACATACTATGCATCACCCTCAGCTGTAACAACTAAAAGTGTCTCCAGACATTGTCAAATGTCCCCTGATTGATAACCACTTATATAAGCTATATCTGTGCCTTTACTGGAGCCCTGGTGGTGCAGTGGTTAAGAGCTTGGCTGCTAACCAAAAGGTTGGCAGTTCAAATCCACCAGCTGCTCCCTGGAAACCCTATGGGACAGTCCTACTCTGTCCTATAGGGTCGCTATGAGTTGGAATCCACTTGATAGCAATAGGTTTGTTGGTTTTATTTTTTTGGTTTGGTGCCCTTACCAATGTAAGGTCAATGATACTTCTTAGAAATAAAACATTCTCATGCTGATCCATAAGAGATAAGAAAAGTACAGAAAGAACACGAAGGACAGTTTAACATGGAAAAAGTACATTGAATTCTCTGGAAGACAATGTCTGTTTCAATAGTCACTACATCGAAATGAGGGCCTTGAAAGGGGTATTTTTCTGTGAAGCCCTTTACATATATACTACTATCTAAGAAGTGAAAGAATCTTACGACCTAAACATCACAGATTTAGAAGGGATTTCTGGATAACAGCATTATGCTTACAACTTCCACTGTTTATGGGTGTCTTGCGTATCATTAAAGGCTCAAGAGGAAAAAATTGCTCTCAAAATTATTTCAATGGCTAACAACATATGAATCTTTGAAGATGTTTTTAAGATTTGAAACTCCTGCGATCAACTTGGAGTCCTTAGCAGAGACTAGCTGTTCATCCTCTGTAACTATCTGCAGATATAATACATCAATTCCCACATCTTCTTTAGAAAAATTTCTAAGAGCTTAGTTTGTATTTTTCAATCTCTAATCAATTTCATTTCCTGTTATGGACCTTCTTCTAAATTTTCCACATCATGAGATGTTGAAGTCAAAGTAAAACAATACTCTAAAAAGAACACAGCTTATTTAAACAGAGATGCTTCTTAAATTCCCATTTTATCTAAAGGGATTACTTTGGGAAATTCATGCTATTATCAGACTGGTTAATTAGATTAAATGTTAAAAGTAGGAAAATTGTCCTTCGTTATGAAATTCTAACAGCTTCATGAAAGAAAAAAGTAGTTACATATAAACTCAGTGTTAGATGAAGAGTACTAAAATATTTAAGTCATACAAGTAATTCCAAAGGACTGAAATGATTTATTTTCAGTCCAAGTGGTATAAGTACAAATGCCTTGAAACTGTTTTTCTCTGCAGTTAGGCATGTTAAAAAAAAAAAAAAAGGTGTAATTGGTTAGTCAAGAATATTGGTGAATTACAACAATAAAATATATGTTAATTCTTTCACTTATCAATCATTTAAACATCTATTATGTGCTGGGCACTGTGCTAAGTTATATACATATACGGAGATGGAACAAAAGCATATTATTATCTAAATCTAGATTTCTTATATACACTTAATATGCTACTAATCTCGCTATGAAAAGTTAGAAGATAATCATATTTACCTTAACTTCAATCATTTATGACAAAGCTCACCTATGACCACATGGGGTTCAATAGACAAAACCGTTAATGTTTTTTAAGAGCAACAAATAACATTCCATGCCTTAACAAAGGACAATCAAATTATGTTTAGATGGTTGCTTAGAAAGCCTTTCAGCAGATGGGAAATTCATTCTTAATTATCAAAGTGATACACATTATACACAACAGTAAGCTCTATATTATGAGCGTGCATGCAAAAAACTGTACACATTTGCCTGAAAGCCCCTCAAAAACCAAGAGTGCATGGTATTTGATTATCTGAATTAGAGATATTTTTCTTGTATTTTCCATCTCCCTGCTAATGAAGCATTATGAGTTATCCACCAAATCCAGTTTTAAACAAGAGCCAGGTGGAAATCTATAAACTCTGCAAAAATGCATAAAATTAGGAAACTTAAACTTTTAAAACTGACATTTAATTGGTGTGAATACGAGATAAGTAAGTTGGTTGACAATTTACAGTGGAAGAAATGAAGGGAGATTATAGACACTTACCAATTCTGGCACATTTCCAAAATATACCCAACAGTCTGCGTGGAATAAAAAAGAAAAAGTAGCTACTGATTACTGGGAAAGGTAAATCATTCCCTCAACATCACATTTTCCATAATGGTGTGGAGAATTCATTATTTACTGGCACGTTGACCTCTGATTCTTTCTTTCAGATCTGAAATTTGCTTGTCTGATGTCGAGCCACCATTTATGTGTCAAAGTAGGACACAACAGCATACCAATCATCAATGTATAGAAACTGTGATAAACTGGAATAGATGTGCTATCATAGGTCCAATCCAGGGTAAATCAATGTGAGAATGGCAAAATTTACTAAAATTTACAAAATTTACTATAGTCGGATTAATTCAGTCATCTTCAAGTACTTAACCTTCAAAAGCAGAAAATTTATATACTAATTTATATAAACATCAATTGTGAGAAAACAAACGAACAAAAGGTTTTGGATGAATTTTGACATTAAAATAATAAAACTCTTAAAAAACTTTAAATTTTACAGACTGCAGCTCCATATTTAAATAATCTATAACCATGAATTCCAATGCTATCATTTATATAACTGTGCTATTCAATAAGAAGGAATACAAAAATATGTGCCAACACTTTCAATACAAGTAGAAAATCTTCAAGTTGAGGGGACACAATAACAAATTAACTACATATGGAATTTAAAACACATACCTTCTGGAAATAAGAAAAAATTAAAATGAAGATGCCCATTTCAAGTCTATGAATGGATATATTATGAAGTAAATAGATATTAAATGAATATATCACTCACTTGACATGCATATATCACCAGCTGCTTAAAAAAATAACCAACTGAACCATTTAACACCTAGAGATTCATGAAAAAATAAAAACATTGTAGACACTATTTTGTTGGTCTGGCAAAACAGCTGAATTACAAATGTTGTCATACATGGTAACAAACTAAGATACCAAAAAACCAAACTGCACCCATTGCCGTCGAGTTGATTCCGACTCATAGTGAGCCTACAGGAAAGAGTAGAATTGCCCCCTAGGGCTTCCAAGGAGTGGTTGGTGGATTCGAAATGCTGACCTTTTGGTTAGTAGCCAAGCTCTTAACCACTGTGCCACCAGGACTCCACAAATTATTATTTTTTTTACAACTGGCTAGGGTTGGCTCAACAAAATCACAATATTTAAATTCTAGGGAAATTTGTATTATACTTTTGTGTCCACTGAAATGGATGGTTAATGAATCATTATATCTAAATGGTTAAGACTGAAATAAAATACTAGTTTGATTAAATTCTATTTATGTTTCTCCTCCAAAGTTTAACTTCCTGAACTCATAACAAAAAGTCTCATAGTATACATTAAATACAATGGGCAGAAATACAAGTTTCTGAAAGATAATACAGCTTTACTATAGGAATAAAAAGACAAAAGTCATATACACTCCTGAAAGTAATAAAAGCTAGTATAAACAGATATAGTATGGCATGGGACTAAGTGTGTTATCTGGAGTCAGACTGTTCCTAAATTCAAATCCCACTTACTGGTTGTGTGTAACTGTGAAGAAATTATTTTATCTTTGTCTCAGTTCTACCACTCGTGAAACAGAGATAATAACAGCACTCATCTCATACGGTTGTTATGAGGATTAAATGAATCACTACACAGAAAGTCCTTAAAAAATGACTAACATATTGTGTTTAGTAATACATAGGCTAAAGGCACATGTGACAATAACTCCAGATATTCCTTAAAATTTGTTTACATTGCTTCATCAAAAAATGGAAGCTTTGGTGAAGGGTAGGACAGTACACAATACTGGGGAAGCCCGCAAAACTTGTCTGGGGCGGGGTCCTGGAGGCAGGACCCCTGAAGCCCTTCCATTGTAAGCTTAGAGCTCCATAGAACCCAGTCTGAAACCCCAAGATCACAAAGTCAAGGTATTTTCAGCTCTGATATTCTAGAAATAATTCCAAGTCTCATTAGGAAACTGGTACAAGACACGTAACATACTAAAAAGTAGCATTTTTAAAAGAAAAAAAAATTCTTGAACTTGGCAACTTAAGAGATTTATAAGCACCACCATGGTCCTTTCCACATATTTCCTATCTAGACATTTTTCTGTAATAGCTCAAATGCTATTTATTAAAAAACAGGAACTCTGTTAGTTGATAAAGATCAATATAATTATGCTGCTTGGTTTCTATGGCTATAAACCAATAATTACATCTGCTGAAATGCTACCAGGTCTATGAAAGTAAGAAACATTGACTATGTAGTTATCTTTTTCTGCCGCTTTTTAGTTTTATATTATTTGAAGCAGCAAAAAATGAAGTTGTTATTTTCTAAAGTGAAGTCATCAAGGACCCATTTTATCCAATCTGTCTAGACATCTCCACCTAAGCATGGAATATTCTCACTATAATAAAAGGAAATTTTTATAAAAATATATAAAAATGGGACATGAGCCTATAAAAAATTGGTTCCACAGAAAATATTTATGTCCAAATCAAACACAATGGAAGTTTAACATTTATATAAACAGAAACAAAAATAAAAGGCTTTAAAACAGTTGACTCTATCAGTATATACTTCAAAATGCAAAAATACCAAATAAAAAAACAGTTTAGCGCAGGAAGTAAAGAATGTCACCCTTCAATATTGTGCTTAAAAAAAAATTATATGAGACCAAAGTGATAACAGTAACTCTAAAGCACTGATGAGAAGTTTAGGGGGCAGTGAATCTAAATCAACAGGGGTAAAACAACCAGAGCAGAAGCAAGGAGAATGTTGATACAATGTGAAGATTGTAACCAATGTCACTGAACAGTATGTGAAGAAACTTAAATGGGAACATGTTTTGATGTGCATAATTTTCACCAAAAATAAAACTAAATTTTAAAAAGTAAAAACAGGTATGTTATTTTGTCTCTTATGTAGGAGAAATATACTACTACTCAACCTCTACTGTAAGGTTGGCAGCCCTGAGAACTCCTTTTTTAATGTAGCATGTTATGGATGTATCCCTGCTCCTAAAGGAATGAGGAGCAGATATTTCCACATGCAACCTATTTTCTTTTGAAAGAAAAATTTCATAACAGCATCAGAAAAGTACAAATGTTTTATTCTACTACTCTATTTTTTAATAAAGACTTGAATATTGTATTAGATACATATTATGTATTATACTTGAATTCTAAGCAATTAATCAACGAGATTAAGTATTTATTTGTTCCGACTATATGCTTTAACTATAAACTAAAGAGTTGAGGGTCACAGAAGAAGGAACAGAAGAAATGAAAGTGTCTGGTCAGGTGGAAAGGCCTCATGGACAACTAAGGAATAAATGAGATTATATAATCTCAACAATTAGATGAAATACTAAATTGAGTGCTGAAGACTAAGTGCTATAAAATTTCAGAGGAAAAGGTGAAAGATGATGAAGAGAAGAAAATGTCTATAAAGGAAGGGGAGCATTGCTATAAAAATTGATTGACAACTAACATCTGTTTTTACCTTTAATGAATTTCAGCATTAGGTTAAATAAAATCCCTCTGGCCAAGAGTTATCAGTTTAGTTGGGATAGAATTATTGATTTTCAACATTCAAAACTGGTTACAGGTTCTATTTATTCATTTATACATGTTGAAACCACCATAGGAAACAAGGGACGGTAATGAGGGCCAAATGATTTAGACTAAGGGTTGGATACTTGAAAAAAATGTGAGTTATGGCTTCTAAGGTAGAGTGGAGGCACAAATTACTGATATTACACAAATTATCTATTGCCTGGCCTCCTCTAGGAGTTTTATGTTAGTGGAAAAGTAGGGTTTGACTCTGAAGGGTCCTAAATTTTGCCTTTTATTTTCCACTGAAAACAAACAAAGAAAGGTATTGGAGATAATTATCCCTATGTGAAATGTTTTATTATTTCATCCTTTTATTTCCTAAAATCACTGAGGTATCGACTCGTATCGAGAAAGGATTAAGATATTTTTTTCACAGAAATTTATAAACATAAAGAAAGTTTGCTAAGTTTCTACCATGGTATCTTTTGGTATGCTTTTCTTTTTGGTTGAATTCAACATGTCTTCTGTATTGTGAACAACGCACTTTAAAAAACATGTCTGATCAATTTTAATTCTTTGTTGTGTCATACTAAGCTCAAAATTTTTCAAGGTGTGAAAGCATAATTGAAAGGTATGTGGCATGTCCAAGGCTTGACTTTTATTACTGTTTTAAGTAAATGAAATATATTTCTTCAAGGATGTTTGCTTTAAGATACAGACTTAGGAAGCCTATATGATTTAGAGCAGTCTTGTACGGGGGAGGGAAAGCTATATTATTAATTTTATTTATGGATGTTATAAACGGACACAGTGCTTGCAACAGTTTAATGCTTTCAAAATTTGATGATCAAGTTTACTCACGATTCTATAAAAACTAAGGCCAAACACTGCCTTTTTAAAAGCACTTTTTAGTATTAAATTGTACCTCTAGGTCCAGAATAAAAACTATCAAGTCTTTAATAGGCTTTTTTTTCAGTCTAACACACTGCAGGACACTTTTGGAATTTATCTTCTAATTTAGTAAGATACCTTGAATATAAAGTTTTTGGATTTTTAAAAACAGAGGAAGAAAATAAAGTAAAAAGTTATTACAAAACTTTAAGTTACACATAGCCATTAAATTATCCAACGAATTTTATGCTAATTTACATTCCATGTCTACGAGAACTAATCTGAATTTAGTAACATACCCAGTTTTATTTCTGTCCAGGACGCTGGGTGTCAAGGATCGGATATAAGCACAGGTACATATAAGCAGCAAGATTACAGTCAACAGACTCTGAAAATTGAAAATCGCAGACTAAAAAGAGAAAAAGAAAAATTAATAACACAAGAAAAAGTGTACAAGTAAAAAATGCCAGACAATTTCAAATTACCATGCTTTTATTTCTCCCCAAAGCAAGCAGAATGACATATCTGACAACTTTTCTTTTTAATTGTACTTTATATGAAGGTTTATAGAACTAGTTTCTCATTAAACAGTTAGTACACATATTGTTTTATGACACTGGTTAACAACCCCACGACATGTCAACACTATCTCCTCTTGACCTTGGGTTCCCTATTACCAGCTTTCCTGTCCCCTCCTGCCTTCTAGTCCATGGGCTGTTGTGCCCCTTTAGTCTCGTTTTGTTTTATGAGCCTGTCTGACAACTTTAAAAACCAGAATCACGAGATGTTCAGGGGAGTGTACTTTTCCTCTCCATTCTTTGGGCTAAAGAATGCAGGAGATGGTACAAAATTCTAAATTCAAAAACTTAAAACATACTATAAACAATGTCATGAATCTGAAATAGCTGATCAAAGCTGAATCGACAGGTAATTATTACAGAAGTTCTAGGATCCTAGACTACTAGGCAGGACACCAAGGTCTCCAAGCCCTCCTAGTAGCTGGCTATATCACCTCAGTGCAATCAGTCTCTCCTTCCTATCTGTAGAGCCCAGTGAAGAGTGCGGAGATGGACTAAATGTCGACTAACATGTCTTTCAATTCTGAAATTCCTCTAGGATATGAACGCTTTAAATGTTAAGAGATCACTTAGGCTATTAGGTTTTGAAAAACAACTGCTCATTCACTGTTGATTCTTTAAAAGTTATTCATGCTTTAATAGTTCAATCTTTATCCCAAAAGTTAAAATTTAACACAGGAATCATAGAAGTTTCCATACAGGAAATATAGTCAAATACAGGAAATCACAGGTTTCCAGTCAAAGTAAAATGGAGGTGGATACACTCTACTCAACATTCAGCTTAAGTTTCACCTTTTCCAGGAAGTCTCCTTGAACCCATCTGCCTCCCCTACTTCATGTAGAGCTCTCTCCTTTCGTTTCCAAAGCAAACTATTATACCTTTATCATAATATTCATCCCTGGAGGGTGGACATTGCTTTATCAGACTCTGAACGAATTTCTAGCACTTGACTATGTGCCTGTCACACAGTAGGAGCCCAAAAAGGGATGGTTGAATAAATAATTTTTTTAAAGTGCAGGAATATTACTACTTATATATTAAAGAACAATGCTTCCACTATATACAGGTATATATATGCATCCAGCAATATGTGTATTTAGTAAACTTTGAAACACCCCCATCAAGTCAGGAATAAGACAAAGAATAACCAAAAAAAAAAAAGAAAAAAAAAAAACCCCGAACCCATTGCCGTTGAGTCAATTCCGACTCATAGCTTCCTTACAGGACAGAGTGGAACTGCCCCATATGGTTTCCAAGGGGGCGCCTGGTGGATTCAAACTGCCGACCTTTTGGTTAGCAGCCGTAGCTCTTAACCACTATGACACCAGGGTTTCCAAGACAAAGAATAAATGTCATATATAAAAAAGACAACCAATTCTCAAGTTCATATGGAAAAATAAATAAGCAAGAATAGCCAGGAGAATCCTAAAAAAAGAAAGAACTAGCCCTGTCAGAAATTAAACCACAATATTCATTTTAACCTTTTACATTCATTATAATGAATACGTATGTCTCAGTCATCTAGTGCTGCTCTAACAGGAATGCCACAAGTGGATGGTTTTAACAAAGAGAAATTTATTCTCTAACAGTCCAGTAGGCTACAAGTCCAAATTCAGGGCATCAGCTCCAGGGGAATGCTTTCTCTGTCGGCTCTGGAGGAAAGTCCATGTCATCAGTCTTCCTTTGGTCTGGGAGCGTCTCTGCACAGGAACCTCAGGTCCAAAGGACGCGCTCTGCTCCCAGCACTGCTTTCTTGGTGGTATGAGGTTCCCGTGTATCTCTGCTCGCTTCTCTCTTTTATATCTCAAAAGAGATTGCATTAAGACACTAATCTTGTCAACC